GGTAGAGCACAAGATATATAAATAACGTCTTAAATGAACTGAACCTAGCAATTCTATGTAGAACACCCCACCTAGCAATGACAGAATACATGCTTACATGCAATAATTCCCAGGATCACAGTTTAAACCACAAATCTAGATACATTTGAAAACACTGATGTTATATAAAATATCTTCTGTAACAGTAGCAGAATGAAATTGGAAATTAATAATAAAGAAATGTTGAAAATTTATAAATATATAGAAATTAAACTGCAAGCTTAAAGAATCATAATTTTAAAGAAACTATCAAAAGAGAAAATAGAAAATAGGTGAATGAAACAACATATCAAAATTTATAGCTTACATTGAAAGAAACTCTTGAGGGGAAAAATTATACTGTAAATACATACGTCTTAAGAGAAGTGTTTTGTAGATATCTATTAAATCCATATAGTTCATAGCATCTGTTAGTTTCATTGTTTCTCTATTAGTGAAAGTGGGGTGTTGAAGTCCCCCACTACTATTGTGTGGGGTTCAATGTCTGATTTGAGCTTTAATAAAATTTCCTTTACAAGTGTGGGTGCCCTTGGATTTGAGACATAAAGTCACCTTAGTAGACTCAAAGAAATCAGTAGCCCTTCCTTATACAAACTATAAAAAGGCTGAGAAAGAAGTTAGGAAAACAACACACTTTACAATAGCCATGAATAATATAAAATATTTGGGCATGACTCTAACCAAGCAAGTAAAAGACCTATCTGACAAGAACCTCAAGTCATTGATGAAAGAAATTGAGGAGGATATCAGAGGATGGAAAGATCTCCCATGCTCATAGGTAGGTAGGATTAACATAGTGAAAATGGTCATTTACCAAAAGCAATCTACAGATTTAATGCAGTCCTCATCAAAATTTTATAGACCTTGAAAGAGCAATTCTCAGCTTCATATGGAAAAACAAAAAAATCCAAGATAACCAAAGCAAACCTGAACAATAAAAGAACTTCTGGAGGAATCACCATCTCTGACCTCAAGCTACTACAGAGCAATAGTGACAAAAACTGTATGGTATTAGTACAGAACCAGACAAGTTGATCAATGTAATCTAATTGGAGACCCAGAAATAAACCCACACCTATGAACACTTGATTTTTCTCTTTACATAGAAACTAAAACCAAATAATGGGGAAAAGAAAGCATCTCAACAATTGGTGCTGGTTTAACTAGATGTCTGCATGTAGAAGAATATAAATAGATCCATATTTATCACCCTGCACAAAATTCAAGTCCAAGTGGATCAAGGACCTCAACATAAAACTGGATACACTAAATCTCATAAAAGAGAAAGTGGGAAATAGCCTTGAACACATTATTACAGGAGAGAATTTCCTGAACAGAACACCAATGACTCAGGCTCTAAAATCAATAATTGCTAAATGGGACCTCCTGAAACCAAAAGTTTCTGTAAGGCAAAGAGCACTGTCAGTAGGACAAAATGTCAGCCTACAAATTATGAAAAGATCTTTACTAACCCTACATCCAACATAAAGCTAATATTCAAAATATATAAAGAACTCGAGAAGTTAGGTGCCAACAAACCAAATAACCCAATTTCGAGAAGAAAAAAAAAGGGAAGTCAGAGCTTAACAGAGAATTCTCAACAAAAGAATCTCGAATGGCCAAGAAGCACTTAAAGAAATGTTCAACATCCTTAAGTCATCAGGGAAATGCAAGTCAAAACGACCCTGAGATTCCTTACACCTTACACCAATCAAAATAGCTAAGATCAAAGTCTCTAGCAACAGCACATGCTAGAGAAGGATATGGAGAAGGGGTAACACTCCTCCATTGCTGATGGGATTGTAATCTTGTACAACCACTCTGGAAATCAATCTGATAGTTCCTAAGAAAAATTGGAAATAGTTCTACTATACTGCTCCTGAGTATATACCCAAAAGAAGCTTCACCATACCACAAGGACACATGCTCCACTATGTTCATAGGAACTTTATTTGTAATGGCTAGAAACTAGAAACATAATAATAATAATAATAATAATAATAATAATAATAATAATTAGTCTATTTGGTGTTCTGTAGGCTTCTTGTATGTTTATGAGCATCTTGTTCTTTAGGTTAGGGAAGTTTTCCTCAATAACTTTGTTGAAGATATTTACTGGCCCTTTAAGTTGGGAATCTTCATTCTCATCTATACCTATTATCCTTAGGTTTGATCTTCTCATTGTGTCCTGGATTTCCTGGATGTTTTGAGTTAGGAGTTTTTTGCATTTTGTATTTTCTTTGACAACTGTGTCAATATTTTCCACCGTATCTTCTACATTTGAGATTCTCTCTTCTATCTCTTGTATTCGGTTGGTGATGCTTGCGTCTATGACTCCTGATCTCTTTCTTAGGTTTTCTATCTCCACGGTTGTCTCCCTTTGAGCTTTCTTTATTGTTTCTATTTCCAGTTTCATATCCTGAATGTTTTTGTTTAATTCCTTCTTTGTGTTTTCTTGCATTTTTTAAGGGATTTCTGTGATTCCTCTTTAAGGGCTTCTACTTGTTTACTTATACTCTCCTGTATTTCTTTAAGGGAGTTACTTAATTCCTTCTTATAATCCTCTATCATCATCATGAGAAGTGATTTTAATTCTGAATCCTGCTTTTCAGGTGTGATGGGGTGTCCAGGGCTTGCTATATTGGGAGAACTGGGTATTGATGATGCCAAGAAACTTTGGTTTCTGTTGCTTATGTTCTTGCACTTGCCTTTCACCATCTGGTTAACTCTAGTGTTACCTGCCCTCACTGTGTAAGACTGGAGTTATCTTGCTTGTTGCAGAGCTCCTCGGAGTCCAGATGTCTCTGTGGTCTTATGCTCCTAATCTCCTGGGTGGAAGAACTCCTGGGACTCAGGCCACCTCTTGGATCTGGAAATCCTTCTGCTCTGAGTGCAGTGGCTCCTCAATGACTCAGGATTCAGTTTCAGCTGCTCTGAGTGCAGTGGCTCCTCGATGACTCAGGATTCAGTTTCTCCACAGGACAGGAGCAGACCGACTCTGTGTCTGCTCCAGCCCAAAGGACCAGGCAGGGGCGGAAGGGCTAGAGGTACAATCTTAACAACATGAGATTGAGTTTAATGAATGAGAAACCAAAAAGCACAAAGAAGGAAAAAATAAACATATCTCATAAAAATTGAAGACTTTTGGTTTCAAAGGGCTCCATCCAAAAAAAAAAGTGATAAAAATTGCACAGAAAATGAGGTCAGATGTTCATTAAATGTATAGTAAGATTATCTCCCACTGAATACTAGCAAAAGGGTCAGTCTCAGCTTGGTGCTAGAGCACTGAACATACCCCTGTGTCCCTGGTCAGTCCTCAATGCCAAAAGGAAAACAGAAAAGCTAGAGGGAAAATCAGTATAAATAAATAAATAAATAAATAAATAAATAAATAAATAGTAACATTTATAACAACTATAAATAACCACATCAAGGAAAAATGAATAAAATAACAAGACGATTACTTATTTTCTGAATCCTATACTTCGTAAATCTAACCTAAAATTCACTTTGAACAGGTTCATGCCCGTGAATCTGGGACTTTGAAGAAAGAAAGAAGGTCAGGGCTTAACTACAGAGTAGATTGAAGGCCAGAGGCAGCCACCAGCAAGTCCCAGATGTCAAGAAAACAAGAGGCTCATAGGACCCAACAAATGAGATTAGCTGAAATGCCCAACAAAGGGGAGAGAGAACCTGTAGAGACCATATCCAGAGGTTAGGGAAGGGCCTCGGTTGGGGGATACAGCCATCCACTCATCTCCAAATTCTTAACTCAGAAGAGCTCCTATCTAAAAAAAATATGGGGACAAAGTGTGGAACAGAGATTGAAAAAAGGTCATCCAGAGACTGCCCGGCCTGGGGATCCATCCCATATAGAGAGACCAAACCCAGACACCATTGCAGATGCCAAGAAGTTCTTGCTGACAGGAGCCTGATATAGCTGCCTCCTGAGAGGCTCTGACAGAGTCTGACAAATACAGAGGCGGATGCTTGCAGCCAACCATTGGTCTGAGCACAGGGTCCCCAATGGGGTCCCTAATGGAGGAGTTAACGAAAGGACTGAAGGAGCTATGGTTTGTAACCCCACAGGAAGAACAATATCAACCAACCAGACTCCCCAGAGCTCCCAGGGACTAAACCACCAACCAAAGAGTACACATGGAGGGACCCATGGATCCAGCCACATATTTAGCAGAGGATGGCCTTGTCTGGCATCAATGGGAGAAGAGGACCTTGGTCCTGTGATGCCCAAGTGTAGGGGAATGCCAGGGCGGTGAGGTGGGAGTGGGTGGATGGGAAGGGGAGCATCCTCATAGAAGCAGGGGGAGGGAGGATGTGGTAGATGGGATGGGGGGGGTTCCAGAGAGGAAACCGGGAAAGGGGATAACATTTGAAATGTAAATAAATAAACTATCCAATAAAAAGAAAAAACACATATACAATTATTTTAGATAGTTTAATGTAAATCTTTGATGCTAATTGCCAATGAAGATGGTTATTCTGTAAAGTATATTTATAAATTTTTTCTACAAATCAGAGATCATTGTCATTGAAAGAAGAACAATGAACATCAAGTTCTATGTCCATAAGGTTAAATAAACACGATCTATTCTTCAGTACAAAAAAAAAAAAAAGGCCAGTCTCAGTTAAGTGAAGTGTCTCAAAAACCTAAAAACAGAGATCACTTTTTTTCTGTATGTCTTACCCCTTCCTGGGTGCTGTGCCAGTCTGTTTTTAATTCAAATAATTTATTATTATTTATTATTATTATTATTATTATTATTATTATTTTACTTATTCATTTTACATCCCACTCACAATCCCCTTCCAGTCACCCCCTCCCATAATTCTTCCCCATATCCTCCCTCCTCTGAGCAGGTGGGACCCCCTACCCTGTGACTTTCCTAACCTGGACTGTACCCGTTTTTTAAGTAAGAAGACTGTGTCTCTTGTATCCACAGACACTCAGAACAACGTGTATGGTTTTGGAGAGCATGGAATTGGGAAGTTTCTGCTCACACTGGCTGCCATGGGCTTGGTTTTTCTCCTCTTGCTTTTATCCCTGGAGTCTCTTTCCTGTAGTCTGAAGAACTTTGTCTTTCGAAACATTATCTTTTATCTCTACAATAAGTTCAGAAAAGGCAGGCATGTAAGTAACTAACTGGACTTTAAATATAATTTAAAGAAAGTGAACCATTCGGTCAGAAAAAATATGAATTTACATTTCTCTCACTTCTATTACTTTTTAAAAAATATTATTTGATTACTAAAATAGATCTGTGGCTCATTTGAGGTATAAGCATCTTAGAGTTTAGTACAAAATTTTGAATCCTCTAAGAGATCTGCCCTGGGTTAGCTACAAGTAAAATAGTTGTCTTTATGCTAGTAAGAACATACTGATCACTCTAACTATAGAAACATGTTTTTTATTCTTTGAGAATTTCATACACTATATTTTGATCATATTCCCTCCCTTTCCTCAGCTCCTCCCAGATCCAGCCCCTATTCCATACCCACTCAACTTTGTGTCCTCTTTTTATTTTTTTTAAACCCAATGGGTCCAGTTTCTGCTGCCCAAATATTCTTGGATGTGTAGCCTTACACTGGGGTTCATACTCTAAAAGGGTACCTTTAAAGAAATTGATGTCTCCCAGCAGCCATCAATTAATTACCAATAGCTCCTCAGCTAGCATTGGTATTTTGTGTCCACCTTCCTAATGCATGCTGGTATTTTGTCTAGCTTGAGCTTGTGCAGGCCTTGTGCATGCCGTCTCAGCTATTTTGTATGTGCACATACCCTACTGTGTTCAGAGATCACTGTTTCCTATAGCCATGCACTGCCTCTGGCTCTTACAAAATTTTTATGACAATTGTTTTATAGAATTCTGTCTGACTCTTCTTGACTGTCATATTCTTCTAAAGTAGAGCCAGCCAGAAGTATGTTTGCATGTAAGAATTCAGGAGACAGAAATGTCTTAGAAACTGTTCAAGTATTTTCTCATACCCTTCAGATTATTCCCACATGTTAGCTTTCTTAAAGCTGTTGGCTTAAACCAGTTTTCTGTACACTGTTCACATATGTTACTACTACTTGTCTTGAAAATATAGGCTGTAGTAACTCAGCAGAGAACCAAAGAAGATGAGGATGAAGACATAAGAAAAGAAAAGAGAAAAGTCTTTACACTGCTGCTCAGGTTACAGAACACCCCATTGGTCCTTAATGAAGTTACAAAGGTAATGTCACTTACTGGCTAGCTGTCTTGGGATTTAAGCATCTTCCCTGCCTGGAATTTACCCGAGGCTGTACTGGTTCACTGCAGTTCTGCAAAGGGCTGGAAGGGAAAATGCTGTCATGGAATTGTCACAGTTTGTTAACTTTAGGAGCCTAAGGTAATGGCTGTGATTGACTCATGACCAGTGTCTCCATACATTGTGAGTTTTCCTTTTTTAATTTTCTCAGATTTATTTTAAGTGTCCTGTTGTCAAGGCTGTGAAAAATATCTCCCTTGTAGTCAGGAAGTCGGAGTGCTTTGGATTGCTTGGATTAAATGGAGCTGGAAAAACTACTACATTCAAAATGCTGACTGGAGAACAGACTATCACCTCCGGAATTGCATTTATTGATGGCCATAGTGTCATTAAAAGCTCAAGAAAGGTATTTTTATTCTTAGTCAGTGACCTCATATCTTGATGGAGGAGTGAGCCAGGCAAATTGTTGTAAATGGGAGGGAAGCTAAGGATCCTGAGACATAAGTCCTCATGTCTCAGGATTGACAGACTCCAAGGCTGCACTGAGTTTGAAAGAAGGAAAGTATCCCTGCCTGTGAAACAAAATGTTTGTAAATAAATCCATCTGAACTCAAGGAGAACAGTTATTCCATATAACCTGCTCTGACATAGAATTTGAAATATTCTTAATTAGAAAAATGACTATGAGAAGAAATATAAAGAATTGAAAGGATTCATCTTTATTTGTATGTAAGTTTGAGATGGGGGAGGGAGGGAGGGAGGGAAGAAGGGAGGAATGGTACCCAGGTTTCTTTGTTAAACTTCTGAGGGTGAAGGTGTCAGTCACCAAGAGAGTAAATATCTTGAGAGAGTATGTTTGGAGGGTGTTGGGTCTTGAGGCATCTATGATACATTTAAATGGGAATATAGACTGAAGAGGATAAACACACGATAGTAAAGTGATATGAATTTGATCAAAGTACAGATGAAATTTAAGTTTTGAAAGTGGACAAGACCGTCTATCAGGAATGTGTACAATACAAAGAATATGGACTTAATTTGGTGGGTTAGCAATACTGAATAAAGGGACTATAGAAGAAATCATTAAAAAAATAGAGAGCTAGAGGGAAAATATGGCTAAATGTTTTTCTTTTAAGCCAGATAAACAAACTTTCAAGAAAGAAATTCACTGATGATCTTGGATACAGTTAACCTGTAAACTGTCTAGTGGGTTTCCCTGAAGCCTGGTACAGTGGAGTGATACACAGAGAAGCCAGGTTATAGGGATAAAGTGTGTACACAGGTTTAAAGAAAGCTGCATGTGCAACCAAGGGAAATTGAAGAATTACACCTGGGATATCAGTAGATAACCTAGACAGACCAACTTTTAATACCAGAGCATACAGCAACCAGAGCATATTTATCTCAGGGCAGTGTGGAGAGTCTAAACTGAACAAATGCATCTGCTACTTAAGGCCTACATGAAACTGTGTACTTGGGGCACTGGTAGCGAGCCTCAGTCCTTCTTGTAGCCAACTCTACTCCATTCCTTCACTTTATCATTCTATAGACATCGCTTATATACAGTCAACAACAAATGTCTGTTTTCATTTTATTAGGGTTATGGTTATGTACCATACACTATCTTTTCAAAGTTACCAGATTGCTTCCCCTGGGTAGCTGTGTGAGTATGCACAGTGGCGATGTATGACAGTGTCTATTTCCCCACGCTTACAATAGGTTATTTTACCCAGTATGTCAATTTTTTTGTGTATGGTCCATTTTTTAAAATGTCACTTGAACAGTTTTTCTCTTATTGTGAGTGAGATTATATAACTCTAGGAAATATTTAAAAGATACCAATTTTCATTCCTAAAAGTAGTCTGTGTGTATCCTTTATATATTTCTTTTTTTTCATTTTTTTGGTTCTTTTTTTATTCGATATTTTATTTACATTTCAGATGCCATCCCCCTTCCCCATACTCCCCACTCATTAATCCCTTATCCCATCCCTCCTCCTCCTTTTGTGCATTTATACTGTTTAAATTACATTCAAGTATTAAGTTCAGTTCTAGGTTGAGGAACTAGCAATACAATAGATGCAAATAGTCCAGGAATAAGGAAGACATTAATGCAGATAATCAAAGAACATGCATGACAATAAACAGAGTCCTGTGATGACTCCTGTGATCACTATTTCTAAGGGCTTATCAGGATGATCAAAGTATCTGAGCCTACTTCCCTGTCCTAGCCCATAGTCATTTTCATGCCAGAAGCCTATTTCTTTGTTCTAGCTTAAGATTTAGATTTCTGCCCATAATTACTTCTTTGTTCTAGCCTAATAGTTAGATTCCTGCCTGAAATTAATTCTTTGTTCTAGCCTAGGATCTAGATTTCTGCCTGAAATTACTTCTTTGTTCCAGCCCAATGTCAGATTCATGCCTGAAGTCCATTTCCTTGTCCTTGGCCTATGTCAGATTACTTACAAGCAGCCCAAGTCCTTGTCCATGGCCAATAACAGATTCCTAAGAGGCACCCAAAAGCCCTCTACATCTCCCCTTTTTATTGCATAAACCAGACTGAGTCTGTCTTAGGTCATTCTGATGAGAAAGCCTTCCTTACCCGTCATGGAATATGCATTATCATAAGCGATGCACTTATGTCTTAGGTTGGTAAGGCTCTGTGCAGAATCTTCCTTGTCCTTGGCTTGCCAGCCTGTTAAATTAATAACTCTGTCTGGGGGTCCATTATCGGTTTCAAGTAATGTACTTTGGCTGTCAGCCTGTTGATGTAGTTAGACACAAGCTTTAACAAGATGTGCAGGAATAAAAGTATTCCCAGGATAAGAAGGGCTGGCCTGATCAAGCTATATATGCCATTCATGAGGTTTGACCAAAACAGAATACTGACCTCAGGCCATGGATAATTTTATCAGCATTATCTGTAGCATCAAAGCTCAACAGAGCAGCACTTTTTAAATTCCTAATCTCACTATGCAAAGTTAACATACCCAGAGAGTTGTCAGGATTATGGCAAATATCCTACAGGTATCTTTAAATTTTTTTCTATTTATAATGACAATCATTGTAAATTTTAAAGGTAACACTACTCCAATGATATTTGTCATGACACTTGAGATGGCTCCTAACTCTTGAACCCTGAAACTCATCCAGATAATTTGAATAGGTTATAGAGCATCATGTGGTGTTACAGATACCTATATAAATCCTTTTGTATACTCAATAAATTAGTAACATTTTTTTTTGCTAGTTAACAAAGATAGTTGTCTTAACTCCTTGTGTCAATGCTATTGCAGAAGCAGTGGTGCTAGCAATTAATGAAATTAAAGCTGTTATACCAGCAATAATCAAGACTGCTATCCTCTTGCTTCTGCTTAAAGCCTAGCTCACTTCTTCCAGCACTTTCAAGCTTTATTCAGAGAATCAGGTTTTATAATATTCAAGGCAGTAAGACAAAAGCTGCTTGATAGACCCCCGTAACAGACATGCCAGGTTTCAACGCACTAACATAATTGGAAATTATACCATCAATGCAACTTACAAGAAATACTGTAGAAGAGACAAAAACCAATTTTAGCTTGACAATTAAAAGAGCCTTAAAACATGCACTAACCCTTGTTTGAAATCCAGATCCTGTCCCAACTTTATCTCTTGCTATCATAACTTACTAGTGAACTACAGCTAACTTACAAATATGTCTCTGGAAATCTCCAGATCCAGCCTTCCAAGTGTAGACTGTTATTTCCAATATTAGATTGATTTCTAGACCAGTACATGATTGAGTCGTAATAGCTGGTCACCTTTAAGAAAAATACAAGGTACATTATAATTTCTCCTTTTGATTCTCTGTCCTACAAGGTCTAAAAAAACTTGAGGCAAGGCAACTTGTCCCATCTGGGCTATAGGCAAGCAAATTTGGATCAGGAACATATGTCCAATACAGCTTGTACTGACAAGCTCACCCTTGTCAGGGCACTCAGGAAGCTCACAGGTCAGCATCATTCTTTGTCTCAGCAACAACGTGTCTCACCAATCTTTTTAAAGTTCCAGGGGCCTCTTCCACAATACCTTGTTCTTGAGAATTATATGGAATCCCCATAATAACTTGTTGACAAAAAGGCCCCACTGCTTGACTAAAATTCCCAGCTCCATTACGGTTTTTTTTTGGGGGGGCAGGTATTTTATTTATCTACCTTTTAATGTTATCTCCAGTCTCATTCCCAACCAAAACCCCTCATCCCATCCCTCGGCCTCCTATTTCTATTTGGGTATGCCCCCACCCATCCACCCAGTCCCACCTCCCTGATCTTGAATCCCCTAACACTAGAGCATCCAAACTCTCAAGGACCAAGGCTCTCCTTTTCCACTGATGCCTGACAAGGCCATCCTCAACTACCTATACAAGTGGAGCCATGAGTCCCTCCATTTGTGTTCCCAGGCTGGAGGTTTAGACCCTGGGAGCTCTGGTTGAGTATTTTAATACTCCTTTTAAGAAGGACTAAAGCATCCATACTTTGGACTTCCTTCATGTTCTTGAGCTTCATGTGGTCTCTATTGTATCTTAGGAATTGTGAGCTTTGGGGCTAATATCCACTTATCAGTAAGTGCATACCATGTGTGTTCTTTTGTGGTTGAGTAACCTCATTCAGGATATTTTACAGTTCCAGCCATTTGCCTAAGAATTTCATGAACTCACTGTTTTTAATAGCTGAGTAGTACTCCGTTGTGTAAATGTACCACATTTTCTGTATCCATTCCTCTGTTGAAGGACATCTGGGTTCTTTCCAGATTCTGGATATTATAAATAAGGCTGCTATGAACATGGTAGAACATGTGTCCCTGTTGTCTGTTGGAACATCTTTTGGGTATATTCCCAGGAGTGATATAGCTGGGTCCTCAGGTAATGCTATGTCCAATTTTCTGAGGAACCACCAGACTGATTTCCAGAGTGGTTGTACCAGCTTGCAATCCCACCAACAATGGAAAAGTGTTCTTCTTTCTCCACATCCTCAACAGCATCTGCTGTCACCTGAGTTTTTGATCTTAGCCATTCTAACTGGTGTGAGGTAGAATCTCAAGGTTGTTTTGATTTGCTTTTCCCTAATGACTAAGGATGTTGGACATTTCTTTAGGTGCTTCTCGGCCATTCAAGTTTCCTCAATTGAGAATTCTTTGTTGAGCTCTGTACCCCAGGTTTTAATAGGGTGATTTGATTGTCTAGAGTCTAATTTTGAGTTCTTTGTATGTACTGGATATTAGCCTTCTATCAGATGTAGGATTGGTAAAGATCTTTTCCCAATCTGTTGGTTGCTGTTTTGTCCTATTGACAGTGTCCTTTGCCTTACAGAAGCTTTGCAGTTTTATGAGGTCCCAATTGTCAATTCTTGATCTTAGAACATAAGCCTTG